TTATGTATCACCATAACATGGTTTTATTTTTAGTGCTATATAAACTTTCAAAATATGTTCTAACAATTTTGCATATGTTACCAAGTCTCATAACTAATTTTCATCCTCTTTCAAATTACCTTCAATTGCAATGTGTGTTTTTGTATTAACATTCATTATCATCATCATCATATATGGACAGACAGCCCATTGTGGGCCAGTGCTTTCCTTTAAAGATTCTCCACGATGACTCTTTGGTTATCTTTGATTTCCTGTTTCTCTCATTAATTGTTAGAAAGTCCAACTTCACTGAATGAGCCCATCTCAGTGGCGTTCTCTGCTTTTAGTCTCTAGTGGATTTAAAAAGCAGTACTTTTGTTTTATAACATAGTACACTGTCATTTCACATTTGGATTTGTATTAACAGTGTTGCACATATTTACTTCTAACTGCTTCAGTATTCAAGATCTTGATCATTTATTATTCAAGATTCAATTACACAAATATTTGCATGTTCCATATTTAAATTTAAAAATCATTTTAATTGAAAATAAAGGCTAAATTTTAGAATTTCAGACACACGATAAGGAAATAATACCATACATTCAAAACACACTCTCACACATTTCCAAAACAAATATTCATTTAATGTACAAAATTATTAAGTAAAATATTCTTAATGAATTTTGTAAATTTGCATTACAAAAACTATAAAGAGATAACACTGCTTGATATTATTGTACGTGTGCTTGGAACATCAGTTTAAAAATTAAAATAAAGTATGTTAAATAACTATCATTTTATTTGGGTTGTGGCAAAGTACATGAGAGCTTTTTGCCTTCGTGGAGGATTTTCTAAGAATTGTTCATACTCATGTTTATACATGGAGTAAACCACAAAAAATGCTCTGTAGCCAAATCGTTTCCCAGGATTTGAACTTAACTTTGGTCAAATTACCAGTGTTCAAACATTTTACTACTTGGCTGCAACCAGATAATTTTGCTGATGCTATACAAATGAAATACTACTATACTATAACAAGTAACTATTTTCAAGGCTATAACTAGAACATACATTTGAATATCATTATTTAGTCCTTTAATCCCATTTTTCATACTTTGTAAATTTAAAGAAATGTTTCTGTTCACTTTACATATACAAATAAAGTACGTTATTTTGTATTACATGTAACTTATTATTTATGTTCCTAAATGCATCCAAAGTGCATATGCAAATTAAAAAAAGACTGGTCTTGCATTTTTATAATTATTTGCAAGGCAATGCTGTGGTTAGTAACTTTCTCAATAAGAAGGAGAGAAGTGTGGTAATTTATAGATAAGTTTTTCTGTAATTATTGTTATTTTTAATAATTAAACAAAACAAAATTCTTAAGATACTTTTATTTTTGCCTTTATTTTTCAAATTATTAGATCTGTCACATGATAAATATTTTTAATTAGGAATATAAATTAAACAGATGGTTTAAGCAAGGCATCCATTATTGCAAAGGCACGGTAACAATTAGGAAACAAAGGTTCAGATGAATCACAATAGGTGCAGTTTAAAAAGCACAAATTTAACATAAAATTTTTTGAAACATTTAATATTTTACAGAAAAATATCATTAAGTCAAATAACAAGAACTGAAGATGTGCATACCATAAAAATATACATACATAAATATTTAAAAAACATTTTGTCACATAATAACTTTAAACTACTGGAAAGAACAGTTAGGAATGATGTCATTAGTAAGTTTTTGAAATATTTATATAAATACTAATAAATATCAATTTTATCTATTTTCATTTTAACTATCTGAAACTATTTACTGAAAATATATATCTGAAATAATATTTAAAGTATTTTTTGTGAAAATATTATTATAGAGAATAAATTTTAAAACAAAATGCTGAGAGTAATCATTTTAAAATATTATAAATTATATATATATCATCATATTTCCTGGTGTAAAGATGCACTTTTTCTTTCAAAATTGTAACTAAACACTGGAATGTATCGTAGGCAACAGTGGCAGTTGGACAAATGAAACCAAGAATAAAAAATTGTTGGCAACACATGCGAGGTGTATGTGTTAACTCTTAGAAAGCCAAGGCAAAGAATATGTATTGTTAAGAAGGGAAAACTTCTCCGCAACAGGGGTGGCTCTGTCTCAACGTAGAGGGAAACAGCTGCGCACGTGCGAAATATCTGTCACCAAAGCTCGAAAGTCACGTTTATCGAGTTCATAAAACAAATATCGTTTTAAATTTCTTTGAACTTTAAAGGAAAAGAAAAAAAATTTCTTTTTTACATATGTAAATTAATTAATGGATTAGTTATTTTGAGCAAAAACATTATGAAAATCTGAGTTTAAATTATCATAAAAAGTCAAAGAAGAATCATTTTGTCAAAGAACATTTCTTCTCAACATGTGCTCCTCAATTTCCTGACTCATCACAAAGAGGAAAATTCTCGCCGCCATGTTCCGTTGCCAATCCCTGGCGAATTTCCCCTCAGCTTTCCAGCAAACGGGTTTACATTAAGTCTATGGAACCTTTCCTTCTTTACATAGATGTTCTTTGGCCAATGCCTTCACCCACTTATTTCTTTAAAAAACCGACACGTGTGAAATTCCATTTCAAATTCACAATTTCTCTTCCCCCTGTTCATCAATAAAAAAAAGTGGTGTGAAAGTTTCAAATATTATTTATAGTTTCTAACAAAGGAGCTTCTCCGTGAGTGTATATTAAATCACCTTTAACCTATAGGTAACTAACAAAAGAAATACAAAAGAATCCTATTAGGATAAGACTGTAGCCACTAGTCGGTATGGTGGACAGGGAAGCTGACTGCGATACTGAAGGGTCTGGGTTCGAATCCCGGAGAAGGCATGGTTGTAACTGTTCGTCCTTGCATAGGAAAGGCAATGGTGGCCCACCTATTAGGTGCCTCCACAATAGACTACCACATCTGGCCTTGTATAGATTATGGACTGAGTTACATTTGTAATTGTTCACAATCTGCCATTGGAAAACAAAAAGGATAAGACTGTCTACAATAAAGTTGAATTGATATAAATCATTTGGGGAAACTCCAATTTAGGCTACTGCATATTTCAGAGGTTACCCAGATGAGGTCCAGCTAATGGATGGGAGTTCTGTCAATGATGACAAGTTGTATACTAAATGAACATTGATTTCAATAACTTTATGTAATATTTTCTTCTATTAAACTGCAATTCAGCAGACAAATAAAAACCAATCTGTCAACCAAATAAGTCTAGTTCCTCCCCCACCCCATTTTCATGTCCCAAAAATGAAGGTGCAGCTTATGCAAGAGGAAATACCATATATATATTATTATTAGAAACACAAGTTTCTACAAAGTTTAAAGCAACAGATAATACAGAATGATATGAACATGTTTTCATGTTATAATTTTTAGCCAGAAAACAATACCTACAATTTTTAACAATCAGTTACGGAATTGGCAAAATCTGAATATCATGTGAATATTAAATTTAATATAACATAGTAAAAAACTCCTTGTTACAGTTTATTAAAAGAAAATTTGTGTAACAATTTCATAAATTAAATTCTTTCTAGAATTTAGTTAAAGAAGTAATATCAGTCAGAAATTCATTATAAAAAGAGTGTCAATGTGTTCAAATATATATATATATCTTTCATTAACACAGTCAAACCATGTAAGAAATTACTTCAATCTTCTGGAAAATATTTTAATGTGATTCAAAAGTCAATTTTAGTATGATGGCACTTTAAAAAATTTATTTTTGAAAAAGACTGTGTAATGAAGATATTGAAATAAATAACTTGTGATGGTAGAGTATTTTAAAGAATATCAAAAAATATATATAATATAGATTAATTCAGAAAAATGTTTTCAAAACTTGTATTATGCATTTTACTAACCTCTCAGAGCTCCAAGACATGTGGCACAATATTAATATAATACTCAATAACCATTAGAGAGCTTGAAAATTCAGCTATAAAAATGCAGGTTCTTGAAATATTTTATAAACAGCAAAGAGGATCAGAAAGCAATGAATAAGAATCTGATAATATTGTCATAGCAAGAATCATATTTATATTTGGAAGATAAGGGTTTGATGTACTATACAATGTGACTAACCACATTCATGCGAATTTTATTCCTAAAAATGACTGCATTTCAATATTTATAATCTCAGAAATATAATAAGTCCTTAATTTTCACACAGGAATACATTTAGTATTAACTCACTGTTATTCACATCAAACTAATATCTGCTGAATTTGATAATACTTTCCTATTAAATTCTAGATTTTAAAAATTTGCATTTTTGGGTGATTAATACAAATGATATAATGTAACATACACTACTAATGATAACTATTTTTACAATAAGCATACTGGATTTCTTTTTCAGAATTTAAAAATCACACTTCCAATATACGCGAAAACATCTAAGTAGCAAATTTTTAAGGAGAAAATGACACCAAAATGCACAAATTTGTATCACACTTTCATTTTAACAGCTTATAAAATAGACTTGAGTGGTACTTCAGAAAAATATCAGCCAGCATCTATTCAAATTTAGGTCCTTGCTGGCAATATGCACTTGCATGAATTAAAAGTATTTTTTTTTTATGAGAGAAAACAAAGATTTTTTCACAAGCACTAATAACAAGAAAGTGAAAGCATTCTGAAATCATGAATAATAATAGCAAATGAAATTTCAAACTCCCAAGAAATGCCATTGGCACTTTTGCAATATTTTTAAAATATAAGAAAAGTCTAGATCGTTATTTTTCTAGTTTTCAAATTTTCTCTACTTCTTCACACAGAAGTGTTTCATTTTAAATGTTATAATATAAAATTTAATATAAAATGACTAATATATTTCATATTAGTACAGCTATAATATAACATTTTAATAAATATTAAAAAAAAGCTCATTTTAAAATATATAAAACTAATTATGCATTAAAAATAAAATAATTCATATAATAATAAAATGTTAAAGCATTACAGAATTCAAAAACAGAAATGGGGGGAGGAGGTTAATGAATGAAATGAAATTTTTATTATTTTAAAGAAACCTAAAAATTTATCATTTAATTTATTTGAATCTAGACATATATGCTTACAGGCACCATTTAAAATTTACATTTTTTATACAAAAAAATTAATTAAGAATAAAAATTTCACCAAAGACGTTAAACATTTTAGGAGATATTACTTCATTTAACATACCTAGAATACATGCTATAAATTCTTTCACATCCATTGTCATTAATCCTTAGTGGCATAACTTCCTTTATCCAATCATGAGTTTTTTTGTCACTTGTTATATACATTAGCTTATAATTTTGAATATTTTGCTTTCTTATTTTCTTTCACAATGGTAAATATTAGCTTATAATATAAAATATTTTGTTTTCTTATTTTCTTTAACAATGTAAATATAATTTGAATCAGTGGAAATTTATGAAAACAGAGACTAAAATAAGTAATAAAACAAATTTAGCTAGTGAATGCTGTTTAATTACAGGTCTTTATAAACAGTTTCAAAAAGCGGTGGTGCCACTCGGAGGATTAAATATTTTCATATGCGGCAACATTATTAAATAAATAGTGTAAAGCTAGCAATAACTAAAAGCATAAAATACTAACCTGCTCTTTGACAAAATAGCTAAGACAGCATATTAAAAGATATTTATAGTAATAGTTTATAGTTTTATGAATAAGTGAAACATTATTTTTATAAAAATATATCAAATAAATCCCCTGTTAAAATTCTCTGACATATTTGACATTGAAATGAAATTAGTGTCCACTTACAGCTTACTCTATGACTATTTACTCAACGTATGGCAGTTCTTACTTTTAAATTAACTCTCTGAGTGGCATGACCACCTTTATCTGGTCACGAGATTTTTTCTGTCACTTTGTATACATTAGCGTATAATTTAAAATATTCTGCTTTTTTTCTTTATTTATGATGTAAATATCATTTTAATGAATGGAAGTGTATGAAATCAGAGACTAAAATACATAATTATATAAATAGAGGGTTAAATATGAATATTCTTTATTGTGGGTTTTAACTGAATGCACAAAGATCTGTAATAACTATAACCTAACACTTTTGTAAAAATCTTAGATACTCCTTGAAAATTAATATATACTAAAATTCTTGAAAAACATATTCTTGATAAATGTTTCAAAAATGTACTATTAGTAAATGTATTATACAAAAATGTTTTGATAATTTATAAATATTTTTACATAATCTGAAATACCACTCATTTAAGCATTGTAATAGCTACTGAAATAAAATATAATAAAACATTTTACACAGGTATGAATTTATCTTTAAACTATACAAGAATGTTCTAATAAAACTGCAACAAATCTTAACACAAGTGAGTAATTTAAATTGCATAATTTTTGTCAAATATCATATAAGATATAGTGTAGTAACTATCCTTTAATGAAGATAAGTTGACAAGAATAATTGAACACTATTTATATATTAACAATGTAACTGTGTAGTTACATTAACTATGTATCAATCAGACTATAACAAAAAATAATCAAAATATTTCTAGGTTTTTAAGTTTGTCTTGTGCAGTTGGAATAACGTATACTTGATGCATATTGAAATGTTTCTGAGACAAATTATGGGAGGAGAAAAATCAACATTAAATAAATCTTGAAATGAAATATTATTTAATATTACAAATAAAAAAATATTTTTCAACATACATAAAATTGTGATAGTAAATAATCAAGCCCATTTATCAAGCATGCTTATCACATTATATACTTTAATACACACTGAAAATTTTCACTGATAAATACAATGAAAACTTTAAAGTGTTATTTAACTGCACAAAGAATAAAATATAGAAATATCAAAACTATTCTGTTACTATTAACATAATTAACAAGCCTTAGAATATACATAAATTAAAATGGCAAACACACAGATGATATATCAGTATATACATTAAAATGTAAAGAGAAAACAATCTCAATAAAGCAATCTGACTAGATTTATCATGATTATTTTATTTACAATATAGAATAAAATATGCAGAGTGCCTATAAAGCTTATAATTGAAACAGCTATACAATGTAATAATTAAAATATGGAACATCTGAAATGAAATATAAAGTATATTATTAAAGGAAGTATTCCTAAAAATATTTATGTACAAATAAATAATGGTCTTATGTACAAAATTTAAAGCAAAAACAAACAAATATTACATGCAAAACAAAATATAATTAACTGAATAATATAAACAATATCACAAATTTACAGAAATATCATTAGATGTATTTTAATAAAGGCACACATTTAAGATCAGGTGATGCAAATTTGGAATAAACAAAAATATTTAACTATTTACAACATTATAAATAAACATATTTGCAGTTAGCAGTAATAAGAGAAAGACAATGTGCAATTTTCAATCTCAAATTAAACAGCTTTTTTCCTTGAAGGAGAGGTTGATTTATGATAATGGTATTAAGCACCTTCTACTACATAACTAACAATTTCATTTTCTAATATTCAATTAATATTTAGTTTATTTCTATCAAGTATTCAAATTGGCATTTAGTAAAAATAATTTATTCCTAAATACAGCAAACAAAAGATCTCTTTTTACTACACTAAAAAAATATTTTTAGAAATGACATTTCAGCTTGATTTACTGTACAATATTAATCATTCCAATAATAATAGTAATAACAATACTACATAAAGAAACTTAAAAAAATAATAAATTTTCAGACAGAATTTTAATGTAATCTCACATTATTATTCACGTGGCCATGCATCTCCCTTTAAATCATTTTTCACATTAATTAATCAAATATATGATCACACATGATAATTCTTAAGATTGCATAACTTTATTTGACACTCCAAGAACAATAATGACAAGATAAATAGTTTTAGGGTAAGAGGAATATATATTATCAATACTTTTAAATGTGATGATTGATTAAACAGATTACTATTCTGTAATAGCTACTGAAATACCACCTATTTACTTTGCTTAATTGTTTGGTACTTTAAAAACTATTAATTTTTAGAGATGACTATTTCATTGATGACTAATGAAACTGTATACACAGTTAAACATTACTTCTTATTCATATAGATGTGTGTGTATTAAATAAATGCTTTATTGGACATTAATTAAAATATTGTGATGATTGAACTTTATGTATTATTTATGTATGTATAAAATTAATATCATTTACTGTTAATCAAAATGGAGAATCCTCAAGCATAAAGATAAGCTAATCAGGAACTAAAATATTATACACTTTTGTGATTTGCCAAAAATCCATCTTTAAAAATGCTTTACATGATTATGAATTAAAATTGCATAGTTCTACATAAATATAAATAACGTTTTAATAGTTGCTATGATTATGATAGTTTATCTATTGGCAGTATTCATAAGTTTATTACTCATACAAAAATTTTATATGATGTGTATCTTCATAACCTATATCCTCTCCTGACACATTGCTCATACAAGGACAAAGGGAAAAAAGTTACTTTGAGGGATTATTAAATAAAATTTATTTTTCACTGACAGATCACCAATCTCTATAATAACGCCCAATAGAATTTTCAAATTTTCATTAATTTTATCTGATCACAATGCTGTTGGCACATTTTTATATGATTTCGAAAAGCAAATCCCATATAATTATTAGGCAATAAAAAACAAATGCTTCTCATACATAAAGTAATGCTATGCATAAAAGTTAATACTACATCCTAAATTATAAATTTAAATTACATACACTGTTTTGCTCTTAAGTATATAGCACCTTATTGCACATACCATTGATTACATCTTTGCAAAATTATAGTAATTGAAATTAGTGTCTCACTAAGATAAATTATATACAAAATTATTTCAAACAATACTCCTTGACATAGTTAATTTCAGTACAGTATTTTTTTTTTTTTTTTTTTTTTTTTGAGAGCGAAGTGACATAGGCTTTAAAACTTAATAGAAAAATGGAATAAAGTTATATTATGAACCTCTTTTGTATCTCCAAAATAAATTCACTGTTGAACAATAATATATAAGTCATACTTGCTAACAACCAATAAACTACAAAGCATAGCTTTTGTGTATTTCTCAACCTCTGGCATCAAAAGTCAGTTTTTATTTATATTCAGATTATACTAATGTGCTCATCATATTCAATTTTAAGGAGAGATATCATGAGATGATCTGCTTAATTTTACACAGGAAAAGAATACCTTTTAGAAATTCATTCGCATATATGTCAATAATATAAACACTGATATTGTTAATCACAGCTCACAACAATCTTATATTATTTTCATCAAGTGTCCTCAAAATAAAAAAATTACACATTTTTGTGTAACTAAAAGTAAATAAATGCAAGACTTCTAGAAAGATTCTTCATTTATGACAGAAAAGGGAGGGAATTAAAAAGTAATTATTCAAAAATTTAATTATAATTCAGTTTTTTTAAATTATACATACAAATTAAATTTTATATGTAACTTTTCAATACATTTTTGAATGACAACATAATACTTACATATCTATAATAAAAAGGTATTTCACTTTATACGTTTTCATTCTATACAATGTTACCATAGCAAGAATTTCATACCCTGTAATACATTAGTATTTATATGATCATAAAAATTCAATATACAGTAGATACAAACTTTTAATGTACTCTCCATTTCTAAGTAAAAAAAAAAAAAAAAAAAAAAAAAAATGATATTGATTAATGGCAGAAATTTTTTAATATGATAAAATTCAACACTTTCTTTAATGAAGAAGATATAGTTTTTTTTTTTTTTTTTTTTTTTAAATTTTAAAAATAACTTAAAACTTACATGGACACTAGATTCACTAATCAGAATTCAAAATTACCTGACAGCACACATCACAAAAGAATTAATCACCGGTACTCTTCACACATAGATCACTTATACATATTTTATTTAAATTACCATAAATACCTGACATGACATTAACTTGCTAATTTGCTTAAAGTTGATTTAATAAAATATGGTATTGAGAAGCCTTTGATAATTATGAATAAAATTTCAGTTATTGTTATTAAATAATTCTTTTTATCAGAAGATTTAATTAAGTACAAAAAAATTTTAATCAATTCCAAATGATGTAGAAGTTTGTCTTTAAATATTCTTGTGGTGTTTGAAGAAAATACACATTTATGCATTTTAAATAAGTTTTCATTATTTAAAAATTAAAAAAAAAAATGATAATTAAGAAACTATCATACTTCTTCAAGAATAGTTATTTACAGTACAAATATATTCCACATACATCCCCATAACTAAATGCTACTCATTATTTAATCACCTCCTCTTACTTGCAGTTTTCTAATTACAAATATAATAATTTTCAAAAAATAGTACTAAAAGTTTTTATTTAAATTCCTTATTTTGAAATTTTTTGCATTTAAAACATGAAATACATCAATATTTAAAATTAAATAAACAAATAATTAAATTACCATAAATAATAAAACCCTTTATTTCTTCAATTATGATTCATAACTCACTTTCTTTATACATTAGGATAATACTTCAATTTCTTTTCAAAAAATTTAATTAATTTTTTATTAAAATCTTATTATCGTTTTACAAGCATATAAATACACAAACATGTAAAAACAAAAAGAAATAATTAAAAAACTAAACAAAATGTTGAAAATCTAATTTTACTGCTTTTTGTATACACAATGTAAAGCAATTCATGCTGGTTAAAAATAAAATAAGTAGTATTTACTGTATATTGATTTATTAAAAAATATGTTTACAAATATGGAGATAAATACCTTAATAAAGATACTGAGGATATTTGAAATATTTTGTATTTTATACATTCATGCAGGCAAAAATGGTTTGCAAAAAGAGCAAATAACACCCAGAAGTATTTACATACTCCAGTTATGAGCAGGCACTAATGGTAAATTTTTGTCTGAAACTCTGATACACTACAGCAGGTAATTAGCTTAAGAGAGATGAATATTTCTTAACGAGGATACATATGGTCTTACACATTAAGTATGGGAGAAAATATTTTCCTACAATGGTCTACATAACCAACATACAAGTAAATCTATACCTTAGAAGTATTTAAACAAATGAACAAATAATTTTCATACATGAGGATATACTCTCTATTACTAATCTTTCTATTTATATACATTTTCCTTTTTTTTATTTATATGAACAATATTAACACAGTTTTTAACAACTTTTAGCATTCAAAATAGTTACCTCTGTGCAGTTATTATGTATGAAGCACTTAGGTTCATGCAATTTCACTAAAAATATATTAGAATAAAACCGCAGCAGACAAGTTTTCAATTTATTTACATCTTGCTATGTAGAATGACATCATCCCCACAAAGTGTCTCCTACCAGCCCTTTTCCTTTGAAATGCATTTATTTGTCACTTAAACTTGCCCCCCCCCAAAAAAAAATGCTTTGTAACAAAACCACTTTATTTCAGGAACAAATTTAATTGGATGGAGGTATTCTCTGAGAGTGCATAATCTTGGTATTCTGAAAGAAAATATAAATTATTTTTTTAATAATAATTTATTTGTTATTAGGCATACATTTGACAATACAATAATGGGTATGAATATCCAAAAATAACTAAAATGATAATATTGCATGTGAGCATTTGGCAGTCATGAATGCACCATCAGATCTTACTAGCTTATGATTTCCAGTGGCTTCATTTTAAGCAGAATAATTTGCTTTGGGACTAATTAATTTATGACTATTTCTGCTTGCAGCATCCTGCAATTTTTGCACTGTGCAACCACAAAGAACAAAGATGCATAAGATTTTGTTTAAGATTGAAGAAAACTGCCGCTGAAACTACTGTTATGCTTTAAAAAAAGAAATAAAGAGTACAAATTGTTGATACTTTCAGATTATCTGCAACACCACCAAAAAGATACAAACTCGTTGGCGACATTGGAGAATATGCATAAACTTGCTGTCGACTTTGGAATGTGTAGTAACGACCAGGGCCATTCCTGGCAAGGTATGCATTGAATGGCCCACACGCCAAATGACAAATATTAGGAGTGCTAAATGCAGTCAGTATCCTGTAAAGTGGAAGCAACTTGTGCAAGGACAAATACATTATTCAATAATTTTTTTGTCACACGACAGTAAAAAAGGCCTTTTTTGTCCAAAGGCCAAATTTGGAATTTTGTTAATTCTGGACAAAGGCCTTTTTTAAAAGGCTTTCTTGTAAAGTTTAGAAAGGTTTCATTTCAAAAGACAGGAAACAGGAATGCATTTTCACTCTAATTTCAACTGGAATTGTAAAGATAACTACTGATCTTTTGAAGCCTTTTCCTTCAGATGGTCACCTTTATTAATTTTCGGTTAAGAGACTAGGAAGTATAAAGGAAATTTTACAAACTAACAATTTCAATATATTTTGCTGTTGAGAGAACATAGGCTGAACTAAATGAGTAATCCTGCATTTGTGTGAAATTATTCTTATCAAAATTAGCATTGTGAAACAACACATACAGTATTACAAATAAGTATGTATTAAAAATTAATATTTAGGCAACTACATTAAATATTTTTTTAACTAAATTATACTAATAGAAATGAACAAAATAACTGCATAATTCTGAAACTAGGATGTTGTCACACAGAGTGCTGACACCACATCACAATTGGACAGTTAAAAAAAAAAATTTTTTTAATTTAATGTCTCCCACCTTCCCACTTGGAATTGAGTGATCGTATTAGCAGAAAGGTATCCAGAGCCCAGTATAAAAAAATGCAACTAGAAAAGGAAAATCTAAGCAGATCTTTCACAAAATTTTAACGCTTAATTGTTCTACTCCAAATTGATCGCCATCAAATGCTAAGCTTATTCCATAGCCATTGGTTATCGATGATCAGCAGCCATCCACTTCTTGGTGTGTATATTTCACTTAATTAAATAAATAATCCTATAAATTATTTGGGATTGCACATAGGCGTTTGTCCCCCAGGAACAGTTCTAGTAATGATAATGTAGTTAGCTTCAAATGAAGTTCTTTAATCCCTTAATTCTAGAGGTAAATCACATTCAAACAAATGATGAATCACCTTGACACACACATATATATTTTATTTATATTACTAATATACAGCTTCAAACCATAAGAATTATTAGACTATACCCTTTCGATTCTTAAGACTTAATACTTTTATAAATGCATTCGCCTTACCTTTATGGCTGTCTTTTGATTTCATCACAGAAATCAAAACTATTCTGAAGACAGAATGCCTGAAGTGGCATCTATCAATTAGTGATAACAATAAGAGAGAGAAACACTTGTTTGAGTACCCTTATGTCTATTTTAAAAATGCATCCAGTGCTGCCCAGTTTTTTTTTTAAACATTCATTAAAAAATAAAACATTACTTTAAGAAATTTGTTTGCACTGTTGTTCTTTCTTGCATACGCATGTACATGTACTGTCCCCCATGTAGATGGTCTACTTCCATTTAAAACGAAAGGAAACATGTATTTTCATAAACTTGGCATTACACACAAGCCATAATTATGATCATCCATGAAAAAAAGAAACTTCAACAGTTACTCTAAAGCAATAAAAATAAAAGATCGTAAACTGCACAGTTCCATTATGATTTGTTACAGCAAATTGATGAACTCAATGAAAAATGAAATATTTATTAATAAGACACCACTGAATTTCAAAAGTGCAAATACACATATACTCAACCACGTGTATGCTACATGCATACCAGAGTTACCACATAAATATTTTTTGATAGCATGGTGAGTTGCTACATTAATACTTTTTGGCTTTATGAGTGTTGCTGGATCAATACTGCTTTCTGACTTTTTAGTGTGTGTGTGTGTGTGTGTGTTGGGGTAGGCAGATAATAAGAAAGTACCAGGTGGCTTTTGCATCGTCAAAAGTGGCATCCACTGATGGTAAAAATGAGAAAACTACTGAAAATGTGTGACAGGGTATCAATAACGATTATCCCCCCCCCAAAAGACCAGATTTCTAAAGAAAGTCTTTTCATGCAAAAATTTTTGGTCATGAACAATATGGCACTCATGTTACTTACTAAATCTTTAACCTATCAGTGTGGCTTTTTTCTGTAAGGTCTACTGGAAAGTTCTGTCTGATAATGTTATTTCAAGTTTTAACACATGCAAGTGTTCATTTAAAATACATATGGCTGTCTCTCTTTATCACAGCATTTATAAACATTTGCTCTTCTAAATTAACTGAAACAAAAGTGTCTCATATCATTATTAAGTGGGACATAGTTGTGCAAACATGGCTACTGGCAAAGTTCATTTTCAACACTGTATTTTGTATGAATTCCAACAAGGAAGGAATGCTACAGAAGCATGTCGAAATATAGTGATAGTTTTTGGTGGTTTGAAAAATCTGAAACGGGTGATTTCAGCCTTGACAACAAGCCATGCTGTGGGAGGCCACTTTGATTGATGATCAACTATCAGGTTATGAACTATAGCATATACAATTCTAACACCTAGTACTTGATTGTGAAACTGATCACTAAATTTACATTTTACTCAATATGGCATACTCAATTTAATATGGCACCTATGCACCAATAGTGCACAAGAACATCCCCTGGCTCTCAGCTGGAAATCAAATAAGACCATCACACCCAGACTGCTCTGGAAAGACTAGCAAGTGGCCACCTTAAATGTCTTTCATTTGACAGTGGCAGAAAAATCTATGACACTTGTATGAAATGCTGTGAACATCCAGCTTCACCAGATCACATTCTGAGTTGCATCGGACTTTTTAAGGGGGACTTAACATTTGATCCTCTTATTATTAGATTTTTTGACGGTCAACAACCTTCTAGAGCTGATCTGACATATGTCAGATCTTTCGAGGAAACGCAACAACAACAACATTTATTAAAGGTGCGTTAACCTCTGTCCAAAAGCATATTTTAATATTATACTTCCACACAAACTTTTATAATAATCTGGCACAACAGTACTCTTTATAATACTGATCTGTATGGCAGTATCAATGGCAGCATTTAATACTTCATTATCACATTCTGCTTGCACCACAATTAAAGAATAAAAATTACTATTAATTTTGCCAAACCTATACTTCAAATTATTGAAGCATCAATTCTAATATTTGCTGCTTGTAAATGATTTTTTTGTTTTACTGCATTATTTATTGACATCCAAATTTTGCTTTTCAGAATTACAAAATATGTGTGATGAGGTTAACTGCATAATTTACAACAAATCTTTATTCTGCAATCTTTCACTATATGCCAACATTTGTAACACTGGCCCTGTCCTTTTAATTTTTCTCTTTTCAAGCCAATGTCAATATCTGAACTATTTCCTGCTTTGTGTGTTAATGAATCACAAAATAAATATGTTTCAGACACAAACAAGTGAAAGGCTTTTCACTAGTCAGTTGTTTATATTTGCACTGCTGCTGATAACAATCTGCATCTGTTTGTGATGGCTTGTTGGGGCTAAACCGTAAACTTTTGACTTTATATAGCCATTCTGTTGTCTTCATTAAATATTTTTTCTTTCTCTTGAGATTGCAAAACTTATTTATATCAAAACATCTTATTTTTATTCATATGATTATATTATAATCCTAAATTTGTTGGAATTATCCTAGATAAAGCTGAAATCAACATATTGTTGTAAGTTTCAGGATTAATGTTTAAAGAAGAAAGTCTTTGAACCTGGATTTCTGCAGTGTCATATAATTTTCTTAATTTAAAAATGTAATCTGTTTGGTATACAGGAGAGAGATTTAGGAATTTTTGCATATGTGCATTTATGATAACATAGAGTCTTCCAAATCTAGTATTTAAAAATTGTATAGCTGCATTGTAATTCCCTTCAGTTATTGAAAATCCTTCTGTAACAGTGGTAGCAGTTACACTTAAGTGGGATTTTATATAATTAAATTTTTCTACTTTCAAAAAGGTAATATTTTCATATATTGCAATTTTGAATGAATACAAAAACTTATCCATTGACTGACATCACCATAAAATTTAGTAATTTCTAATTTAGGAAAGCAAACTTGATGATTTTCATTCTTGTATTTAGTTGACCTAATATCTGAGTCTGTTTTCTGTTGTTCCAGACTGGATTTTAAATATCTATTTATTCTAGATTTAGGAATAATTATTTTATCCTTGTAACTAATAGAACTTTCAATTTCTATTTCAAGTTTCTTTTCCCCACCTATCAAAGATTAAACTTCCTCATCTAAATTACATAGTTCTTTTTAAATTAATGCTGCTAAAGAATGTTTTAGTAAATTTTCAGCATCAATATTATTTCTTATATCATTTTTTACTTTGTTTATGATGTTAGCTATTGATGTTTTGAAAACACCACCCTTTTTAATAAGGATTTTTATTTTATCCATTTTACTATTAACAATGTAAAGCTTTTACCTTTAGAAGTCTTTGTACACTTTACAATTCAAAGGTAAAGCTAATTCAATTCTTTTCCCCCTTCATGCT